GAAATGTTGTCATGGTAGCCAGGCACTATTCAGCTCCTTTGGTCTCATGGCAAAAGATGCAGTTGTTCATGGAGGCAATTAGTCACATATTTCATATGTTCCTTTTATATCTTTCTTCCCCTGTCGTTCCAGGCAAATAGAGATAAATTGTCCTGCCTTGGATGACCTCTTGCAAGCTTTTAAGACTCTAGTCGCTACATAAGAAACTAGGAGATAAAACAGAAGCACTAAACATGTTATTTGGTCAATTAACAGGAATGTCCCAAAGAACCATGACCCTAAACCTCCAAATCCATGGGGTTTTTGGTTGTTCACAAGCAGCCTCAGAAGATAGGATTTTTTTTCCTTTGGTCATTGTTGTAAAATGTATCTAACACACAACTTTCAGAAGTTCAACTTTTTACAGATGTACAACCTACAACTCATTGACAGCAATTTTAATAATTGGCTGTGCAGCCCTAGAATTTACCTCTAAACCTTTCTCTCACCTTTTTAATCACTAATAATGCTGGGGGGGGGGGGGCATCCGTTTGTTGAAATATCTCAATGGGTATTCCATCAATTCCCAGAGCCTTGTTCTTTGCCAATTCCTTCACTGCAGCTTCGACTTCCTCTTTCGGTACCATTGGTTCTAGATCATATGCCACCTTCAGAAATGGCTGAAGATCGACCAGTCTTTTTGGTACAGTGACTCTCTATGTTTCTTCCATCTTCTTTTGATGTTCCCTGCATCTTTCAATGTTTTGCCCATAGAATCTTTCAATATTGCAACTTGAGGCTTAATTTTTTTTCTTCAATTCTTTCAGCTTGAGAAATGCTGAGCGTGTTCTTCCCTTTTGATATTCAAACTCCAGGTCTTTGCACATTTCATTATAGTAATTGGCTTTGTCTTCTCGAGCTGCTCTTTGAAATCTTCGGTTCAATTCTTTTATCTTGTCATTTCTTCCATTTCCTTTAGCTCCTCCCTGCTCAAGGGCAAGTTTCAGAGTCTCTTCTGTCATCCATTTTGGTCTTCTCTTCTTTTGTTGTCTTTTTAGTGACCTCTTGCTTTCTTCATGGATGATGTTCTTGATGTCATCCCACAAATAATCTGGTTTCTGGTCACTGGTGTTCAATACATCAAATCTATTCTTTAGATGGTCTCTATATTCAGGAGGGATATATTCTAGATCATACTTTGGCTCTCTTGGACTTGTTTTAATTGTCTTTAACTTAAAGTTGAACTTGCATATGAGCAGTTGATGGTCTGTTCCACAATCAGCTCCTGGCCTGGTTTTGGCTGAAGATATTGAGCTTTTCAATTGTTTCTTGCCACAGATGTGGTCAATCTGATTCCTGTGTGTTCCATCTGGTGAAGTCCATGTGTACAGCCGCTGTTTGTGTTGTTGGAAAAAGGTTTGCAATGAATAAGTCGTTGGTCTTGCAAAATTCTGCCATGCATGTTCCAGCATTATTTCTGTCACCAAGGCCAAATTTTCCAACTACTGATGATTCTTCTTTGTTTCCAACCTTTGCATTCCAGTTACCAGTGATAATGAACACATCTTGATTGCAAACTTGGTCAATTTCAGATTGCAATTTGATAAAAATCTTCAATTTCCTCATCTTTGGCTTTGGTGGTTGGTGCATAAATTTAAGTAATAGTCGTATTAACGGGTCTTCCTTGTAGGCGTATGGGTATTATCCTATCACTGATGCATTGTACTTCAGGACAGATCTTGAAACATCCTTTGTGATGATGAATGCCACGCCATTCCTCTTTAAACTGTCGTTCCCGGCATAGTAGATCATATGGTTGTCTGATTCAAAATGGCCAAAACCAGTCCATTTCATCTCACTAATGCCTAGGATATCAATCTTTATGCGTTCCATTTCATTTTTAACAACTTCCAATTTTCCTAGATTCATACTTCGTATATTCCATGTTCTGATTATTAATGGATATTTGCCACTGTTTCCCCTCAATTTGAGTGCTGCCATGTCAGCAAATGGAGGTCTCGAAAGCTTTACCTTAGCCATATGAGTAAGGCTGATTTTACTCTGATAATGCAGCTCTTTCCCAGTCCTACTTCCAGAGCTTTCTAAGCTAACTGACTAATCTTCCTCCTCTGTATTGGACAATGTTTCTGGACTATTCATAAAGTTGTGCAGTAATTATCAGACAGTGTTTCTCTGCTATTCATAAGGTTTTCTTTGAGAAGTGGATGGCCTCCTCCTTCTTCCTAGTCTGTCTCAGTCTGCAAGCCAGGCTGATACCTGTGCAACAGGTGCACCCCACTAGGTTTGAAACACCATTGGCATAGCCTCAAGAGTCACAGCAACACATCACCACAGCAGGACAAACTGACAGACAAGTTTGTCTCCCTTAGCTGTTGGAAACCCCTCCAACCACCCTTACCTGGATCCCTGCAGCTATCTCCTTGATCTGTGCCAGTCCCCTTTGTCTTTTCTGTCCTCTCCCTGCTTCCTGCCTCGCTTCTTGTGGGGGGTGGCCTGGGTTCCTTCTCTTCACCTGGCTCCCTGCGGTTGACTCCTCGATCTGTTCCTATCCCTTGCCTTTTCTGTCCTTTCCCCCTCGCTCCTTGTGGGGTGTGGCCTGGGTTCCTTGTCTTCACCTGGGTCCCTGTGGCTGACTCCTCGATCTGTTCTAGTCCCCTTTGCCTTTTCTGTCCTCTCCCTGCTTCCTGTCTCACTGCCTGTTCTTAGGTCCCTGGGATCTGAATGAGAATCCTATCACTTTAAAATTCAAAATGGTTGTCACTTGTAGACATTAAAAATGGCTGTGCCCTCATTCACTTTAAATATCCAAAATGGCCACCACTACTTTTGAAATGGCTGCGCCCTCGGTCACTTTAAATATGCAAAAGGTTTTACGTGTCAACTTGGCTGGGCCTTGTTGAGTGGCTGGGAAGACAGAAGTAGTTATTCCCCACAGTGAGACTGGCAATCAGCTCCATGGTGGAATCTACTGGAGCAGCTGCTTTAGTGATATGGTCTGTTTCCAGCATATAAGCAGCAGCTTTGAAGAAGGTCTGCAGATTTTAGCATGCCTGAATCCTGCGTGTAGCTGAGTTGTTGTTCAGCAGCCTGCCATGTCGTCTGCCAATCTTGGGACTCTTAATGGACTTGAATCAATGGCCTTCCGTGGGGTTTGGTAATATTGGGACTGTGCCTTTATACTTGTTGACCGTGGGTTTGTCAGCCTCAGCAGTCAGCAGCTGCCTGAGATAAGAAAAGCCTCTAGCTTCAGTGGGCTGAGAGCAAGAGGTAGAGCTGAAGCCCAAGGTCAAGGGGCTTTCATCCAACCCCAAGAGCCAGGCACTCTGAACTCAGACTTCCAGCCTCCAAAACTGTTAAAAGAATAAAAAAGTAACTGAAACACCACTACATCACCCTATTTAGCTAAAAGTAATCTTTTATTAGCCCATTGCCATGGAGTTGAATTCTGACACAGAGGGACCCTTAAAAGACAGAGCAGACATAATTTCATTCCAGTAATTATAGCAAAGTTCAACAGGTTGGAAAATAACAAATGCTGGTGAGGTTGCAGAGGGTTGGGAACTCTTGTGCACTGCTGGTGGGACTGTAAAATGGTACAACCATTGTAGCAAACGGTATGGTGTTTCCTTAAAACACTGAAAATAGAAGTACCATTTGACCCAGCAATTCCATTACTAGGAATATATACTAAAGAGGTGACAGATAGTGCACTAATAGACATATGTACACCTATGTTCATCGCAGCACAATTCACCACAGCAAAGAGATGGAAACAACCTAAATGCCCATCAACGGATGAGTGGCTAACCAGATTATGGTATATGAACATAATGGAATACTATGCTACATTAAAGAACAATGAGGGATACGCGAATTATCTCACAATGTGGATGAACCTGGAGGAAATTATGCTGAGTGAAATAAGTCAATCACAGAAAGACAAGTAGTGTATGAGTCCATTACTGTAAAAAAACAGAGAAGCGTTTGCTTGGTAAAGGGAACTCAGTAGGTTACGGGGATGGGGAGGGAAGGGAGTCCCGGGGGAGGAATACACTGGAAGGATCTATGACCACTATGATAACATTAAGAAATGGGAGGACACCGAATTGTGCACGTAAGAGATAGACAACAGATGCTAATACCAACCAATGTGTCTACAATACTGCACTGCCATTAACACCAAACATTAGGCTGTACAGATAAACACAAACACCTGAGATGATCAGACAGGGATCAGTGAACAGAAGTATACTCTAGACCAAGGATAGACTCAGCTGAGGCTAATCTTGCACAGACATCAGTGATACAAAATACCTGCAGTCCTTATAGAAACAATAGAAGATGGACACAGAGTAATCCCTCAGACAACCAGACACTATGGGAGAGAGATCCAATAGATCCACCCTCTCAGGACCATAGTACTGGGGGACACCAGACTCAATTGGCACAACAAAATACATATAACAGCATTGCTTCACATCCTACATTGGTGAGTAGCGACTGAGGTCTTAAAAATTTTCAAGTGGCCATATAAGATGCAGCTAATGGTCTCCTAGCACCACACACGAAGAACACACACAAAAAAACTCAGGTGCTGAATATACTAAAATCCAAGGGCTTGAAATTTCATGCATCATATGCTTACCACTAAGGAACTAATATTAATCTAGCAAATGTATAAAGGAAAAAGAACCTAACCAACATCTACCCAAAAAATTAATCATCACAAAACGTAGGCCACTTCTTCCCTAGCTGATAAATGATTAAAAAAAAAAAAAAAAAGGTAAAAACATATTTTCCCAATCAATTTAAAACAATATAACCCACTGCCATTGAGTTGATTCTAACTCATAGTGACCCCCATTAGGGTTCCTAGGTAGTAAATATTTACGGAAGTATATTGCCTCATCGTCCTTCTGCAGAGTGGCTGGTGCGTTTGAACCACCAACCTTCTGGTTAGGAGTAAAATGCCTTAGGGACTGCATCAGTAGAGGTCCTTTAAAACAATGTATACCAGGTATAATATACATAGTAATTGAGCCTACAAGAGAAGTAACACAGAAATGAACCAGTCATATTTTGAGGTACTTGTGACAAATATATTCCTTTTTATTGTTACTAAAATGTTGTCCAATCAATTTCAGTAACTGAAGCATTTTATTTTATTTGATTCCACTGTTGCTCATAGTTTGAGCTTTGCACACTCCCTTCCCTTTCACCTCAAAGGGGACTCCTTTGTATGTAGCCACACATTCTGCATTAGTATAAAGATCAGGCTGGATTTGCTCCCAAATCTTCTTCTTAGGATTCAGCTCTTTGTCAGGTTCTCCTATTGAAGGATAAAAAAAAGTTACATTGTTAATATACAAAATATTCTTAAAATTATGCATAGATGCTTTTACAATGGATTGTCTTGGCAGTAATTCCCAAATTTTAGACTGGATCAAAATTGTAACATTTATTTTTATTATGTCAGCAATTCTTGTTCTTGCATAGTAAAATAAAATAAAATAGTTCCTGTCATACCCTTAAGAATGTAACATTTTTTTCCTCCATACACATATTTTTGCAGATAACATAGCTCAAATATTTGTTCCCCAAATTATAAGAAAAAAAGATAACTCATTTTAGCATGACAAAGGAAAAAGCAGTGAAGTAAAAAACAAATCACAGCATATTTTGATGTGGTGTATTTTCACACCTGGCAGCAGCAGCTTATGCTTTACTCTCTGTTTCATCATACATCATGAATGGCTAACCTACTGCATTAGTGCTTAGAGATTTCTTATTAATACTGGAAAATGGCTTAACTACTTGTGTTATCTAGTTAAATATGATAACTACTTTGGTTTCATCCCATGGCCACTCACTGTTAAGAAGAAAAGAGACAGCGAGGGGTGACAAGGAGACAAGGACTAGCATCTGTTAAACACCAAGAATGTATGTTATTGCATATAATTCACATAACAATCCTGATTCTAATTTTAAACAGAAACAAGAAATGAGCTCAGAGAAGATAAGTAAGTTGCTTAAAATCCAAGTTGCTATAAAATGGAGCTAGGATCTAACATCAAAGCCCGTGTTCTGCAACTATAGCACTTTGCTTCCCAATAAACTATGCTTTAGAAAAAACCCAGTAACTCTCTTCCATGTGGAAAATACTCCTACTCTCAATTTATAACAACTGACACTGTATACTTTATAAAAGACAAATAAATAGTAGAATATATTTGCTCTAGGCCTAAAGACAATTAAGAATACCAAACAATCTTTCTGCTCAATAATGTGGAAGTAAAAAATAATGTTAAAGATAAAGCAAATATAAACAAGGGTAATAGTTAAGGTTATTCAGTAACATTTCATTGCTCAAGAAACAATGAAGAAAAATGATGTATCCCTTAAGCATTAGACTTTAAATGGAAAATCATTTTCCTGGAAGTAATAAAAAGAGCATCTCCACCAACATCCACCCACTGCCATTATATCTATTCCAATTCAGAGTAATCCTCTAGGACACAGGACTGCCCCATAGGATTTCCAAAGTTATAAATCATTACAGAAGAAGACTGCCTCATCTTTTTTCCTGTGGAGTGGCTGGTGGTTTCAAACTGCCAACCTTCTGGTTAGGAGCTGAATGCTTTAACCACTGTACCACTAGAGCTCTTTAAAAAGAGTATTACTGCAGGATAACTTGGTAATTATAAAAGCATTAACCTTCTAGAACTTTTTCCCAGTGACTCCACTGTTGAAATCTCCTGGAAATACTTTAAAGACTTTTTAAATATTACTACAACTACATATATTCTATATTCCATCTTTTTCTCTAAAATGGTGTTTATCCTCCACTTATACATATAATAAGGAGCTCTGGTGGTGTAGTGGATAAGGCATTTGGCTGCTAACCAGAAAGTCAATAGTTTAAACCCATCAGGTGCTCCATGGAGGAAAGATGGAGTGATCTATTTTGTAAAGATTTACAGCCTTGGAAACCCAATGGGGGTCACTACGAGTCAGAATCAACTCTATGGCAGTGAGTTTTTTTTTGGTTTGGTGGTGTAATGGGTAAGGCACTTGGCTGCTAACCAAAAGTCAGTGGTTCAAACCCACCAGCTTCTCTGCGTAAGAAAGGTGAGGAGGTTTGCTTTCATAAAGATTTACAGCCCTGGAAACCCAATGGGGGTTCCTATGAGTCAGAATTGCCTTGGTGGAAGAGAGTTTGGTTTGGCTTTGGGTATGCATATACAGGACCAGACAATGTTTTGTTCTGTTATACACAGGATGCCTATGGGTTGGAATCGAGCTGATGGCACCCAGCAACAACAATATATATATAGCAATAACAAAACTGAGTAAAATGGAAGTTTTGCTCCTTATTAGCTCCCCAGAGACCACAGAACTGGCACAAACAAAACTGCCTTCTAATACACAAGTTTTCAGAGATGAGATGAATACATTGAATAGTAGTATATCTGTAAGTAGAAGAACATGCAATGAAACTACGATTGAAGGACTTGACTAGTATAAAACACAAGGATTAGTCTTATCCTCTTAAAAGTATTTGAGAGGACAATAAAGACACTAATTAATGAACGAAAAAGAAAAAATGCTAAGAAAGTGTAATTGTACAGTCATTTAGACCTACAAGAAGGTTTTTATTTTTTGTTCATAAAATATTCCATGGGCTACAAGCATAATTTTACTTTCTTTGTATGCAGATCACTCAGGGAAATAACTCTTCCAGAATGCTGGAAAGCTAGAGACAGAGATACAGTTCAAGATGGCCTGATTTATGTTCCTCCATTGATTCCAATTCTTCATGTCTGAAAAGGTCCACACCAACGAGTTAGTTCAAGAAGCAAGATTGTATGGGTAAATCTTGCTGAGTGTTGACACAAGCTACAAAAAGGCCATGATGTTGTTGTGCTGTTATGTGCCATCGACTCAGACCTGACTCACAGTGACTCCTCCTTGGTTTTCCAAGACAGTATCACTATGGAAGTAGATTGCCCAACCTTCCTTCCAAGGAGTGGCTGGTGGGTTTGAACCTCCAGCCTTCTGGTTAGCAGTCAAGTACCTTAGCCACTGTGCTACCACAGCTATCATTAATTTGGAAGATTTTTAGCCAACCCAAATTTTGAGATTAAAATTAAAGTCTGTCACATTATGAGAACTGTATGTAATCAGAGTAAAAAAGGCTCTCATGCAGCATTAACTTTTTTGTTTACTCAACAATATACTTTTTTGTATATTGTGAAAATTAAATGAGAGTTTAAATCACTACCTCTGGAAAACATATCTGATATTTTAAGAAATGTTTTTTAAGAACTGTATTTTCCAGAGCAGTCTTCAACATTCCTGTGTGTTATATCCTTCTTCCTCATCTCAATTTTTTTGACATGGCTACCAAAAGAGGCCTCCCTTGTATGTATGTCATACTTTGGCGGCTTACATGTTGTAATGTTGGAAAGTATGTGTGATAGTTGGAGCTGTGTGTCAACTTGGCTGGACCACAATTCTGTGTGGTTTAAGCAGTTGTGATGTGGTTATTTCCATGATGGAATCAGATGTATATGTTTTGAGCAGCCAATTCGCTGAAAGAGAGTTTCCCTAGAGGTGTGGCCTGCTTCCAGTATATTAATGGACACCTTGGGAAAAAGAGACATTCTTCTGTGGATTGGGATTCTGCTGCGATTCCTACAACTGTCCGCGAGTAAACAATCCACTATTCAGCCTGGAGATCTTGGATTCATCATTCGCTGGAGTCAACAACCAGTATACTGCCTGCCAACCTTGAGCTCCTCAGCCCCTGCAGCTGCTTGAGTCAGGAAAAGCCTCCAGCTTGACATCTGATCCAAGAACTTTGGACTTGCCAACTTCTATAAGTGTGTGAGTCATTTTCCTAAGATAAATTTCTCTAGAGAACCCAGCCTTAATACACTATGCCACTGGTATTTCAAATACCAGCAGGTTTACCCATGGAAGGCATTTTTCTGCAGAGTTTTCAGATTAAGACAGACTAGAAAGAAGGACTTGACTATCTACTACTGAAAAAACTGTCCAGTAAAAACCTTATGGATAGCAGAACACTGTCTGATATAGTGCCAGAAGATGAACCCCTCTGGTTAGAAAGTACTCAAAATACGACTGAGGAAGAGCTGCCTCCTCACTGTAGAGTTGACCTTAAGGATGTGGCTGGAGTAGTTTCAGCACCTTCATAGCTGATGTGGCATGATCCAAAATAAGTAGAAATACCTGCAAACATCCACTAATAACCAGAACGTGCAATGTATGAAGTATGAATCCAGGAAAACTGGAAGCAGTCATACACGAACTGGACCACATAAAGAATATATCCTAAACATGAATGAGCTGAAATGGACTGGTACTGGCCATTCTGAATTGGATAAATGTATGGTTTCCTATGCTGGGAATTACAAAATGAAGATGCTGGTGCCTCATTCATTGTGAAGAAGAACATTTCGAGATATATCCTGAAGTACAACAATGTCAGTGATACGAATAATATCCATATGCCTACAAGGAAGAAAAATTAATACAACTATGATTCAAATTTAGGCACGAATCACTAAAGCCAAAGATTAAGAAACTGAAGTTGTTAACCAACTTCTGCTCTGAAATTAATCAAGCATACAATCAAGATGCATTGATAATTATGGTGAATGAAATGCAAAAGTTGGAAACAAAGGATTGGTAGTTGGAAAATATGGTCCTGGTGAAAGAAATGACAGTGGAGACCACAGGACTTATTTTGCAAGACCAACTACTTATTCATTACAAATGCCTTTTTTCAATAATATGAAAACTCTACATGTGCACCTCAGCAGAGGCAACACACAGGAATCAAATCAACTACTACTTTGGAAAAAGACGATGGAGAAGTTCAATTTCATCAGTCAGAACAAGGCCCAGGTTCCACTGTGGAACAGACCATCAATTGCTCCTATGTAAGTTCGAGTTGAGGCTTAAGAAAATTAACAAGTCCAAAAGAACAAAAGTATGATGTTGAGTATATCTTCCTTGAAGTTAGAAAGCATCTCAAGAATAGATTTAGTGTACTGAACATGAATGGCAAAGACCAGATGAGTTGTGGGATGACATCATGGACATCATACATGAAGAAAGCAAAATGTCAGTAAAAAGATAGGAAAAATAAAAAAATTAAAATGGATGTCAGAAAAGATTTTGAAACCAGCTCTAAAACAGAGCTGTTGTTTTTGTTGTTATGTGCCATCGAGTCAGACCCAACTCATAGCGGTCCCTCCTTGGGTTTCCGAGGCAGTATCACTACGGAAATAGATTGCCCAACCT